AGCTCGCTGAGCCCAGGCCGCGGGCCGCCGAGGACCCAGCGAGGGCTGCGCGGTAAACTGTCGCCGTTGTCACTCCGGACGCGGAAGTGCGCCTTCCTCGATTTGCTTTAAAATAGGGGCTTGAGTCTCGCCGGCAGGTGTATTTGGTGTAATTCAAGGGAAATTCCCCTCCGCATCCCGGCGCGGCGGTGTAGACCCCGCCCCTCCTCGCCCCATCCCCCCTTCCCCCGGGACGGCGCTCAATGCCTCCGGGAGCATCTGCTGCTCGGGAGGCGCCGCGGGGGCGCAGGGCCCCCCAAAGAGGGGACAGCCCCCAGGGAGTGCGGGCCCCGAAAATAGTCAGACCTGCGTCTAGCCTGGCAGTAAGACTGTAACCGTGGGGTGAGTTTTTAAAAAAGTGCCTTTACGATTGGGAGCTGCTTTTTAAAAGGCCCCCTTCCTGTCCGCTGTTAGCAAGTAGCAGAATAACAATAACAAGCAGTTGCCAACTGTAGTGTCCTCAGAGGAACTTCATTGTTGTGGTGTGATCATTGGATAGCCAAAATGGGTGACGACTTTTCAAAGAATCACCTTAAAGGCGGTTTGAGCCGTAAAATGTCCTACTCTTAAAAATGGGAAGTGTGACAGTCTCAGGTTAGGAAGTGCTTCCTGTTTTCTGTTCCCTGGTTTGCTTGTTTACTCCACAAAATTCCTCTAATTTCCCCGTCATTGAAAATCTAACCTCTCAGGCAAGAATGCAACTGATTATCTCTCTTTTTTCTTTTTAAGAGAATTCAGCTTCCTACCCAAGCAAAATGAGGATTTTTTTGGTAGAACCTGCCATCTGCCTTAGTGCATTTGCTACGACTTTGAGCAGTCCACTGGTAACACAATATGTGTACAGGAGGATATGGGAAGAAACAGGCAACTACAGTTTTGCATCTGATAGCAATATTTCTGAGTGTGAAAAAAACAAAAGCAGCCCAATTTTTGCATTCCAGGAGGTAAGAAATTAAAATAACCCTAAATGTAATAAAAAGGGAATGTGTAATAGGGTTTTAAGTGAAAGAGGACGTTGCACTCGTCATACATTGATCTCAAGGATCACCATAAAACTCCTAAATCTCAAACCAAGAGCCTTTATTCAGTTCTCATCTGTTTGAAGTTTCCTGACACCTTTATTCTATCTCTTCTACTTAAACTCTCCATCTGCTGTGACACTGGCTCTGCTCCTTTCTCTCAGAAAATTTCAGTGCAGTTTCATCTCCTCTGTGGCTGTCTCCTTCCTCCTTCCCCCAGAAAAGCCTGAAAGTTGGACCAAGGTCGGCTGGAAGGTTGGCCTCAAAAACAAACTACTTACAAACTTTGAACTCTTCCCCTTGGGGATATTTTGTGATGGCAAAAGAGTGGCGCTGCCTTCCCAGTCAAAGGACCAGAAGAGTTTAAGGGAATTGGGTCACCTGCCTGCTGGCTCTAAGATTTTCTCCTCAGTCAAAGAGAATTCAGGTGTGACTGAGAGATGAGTCTGAGCCCTGGGGAATATAGCAAAGGGCCCCAGAAGGAAGGCTCTAGCACTTCCCAAGGTGTTTTCCCCAGGTGTCAGGCATACCCTTGCTGGGGTGAGGCCTGGTTGTTTGGCACAGCCCTTGCTGTTACTCTTCTCCTCATTTCCATGGGAGAAATTTTCTTGATTATTTCTGGGCAGCCACACAGACATCAAGGTTCTGGCCTACAGGGAGGTCATAAAAATAGATGGGGCCAAAGGTCTCACCTGGAGGTTTTATCTCCCTTCAAGAATGTTTTCTGTTACATATGTGTCATTCGCAGGGAGTGAGAAGTTTCCATAGGCTCATCAGTTTCTGTATCTGATTCTGTGCTTTCCTTCACCAGACCCCAGGGAGCGGTGGGAGGGATGGAGAAGGACAGGACTTTAACGTCTGGAAATGTAATCCTAAAAATGAGAGATCACATAGCACAGGGTCAGTCCCTAATAAAATAAATGAATTTTTAGTGTGTGTGAGGAAGATTGGCCCTGAGCTCACATCTGTTGCCCATCTTCCTCTTTTTGCTGAGAAAGATTGTCCCTAAATGATTTTTTTTCAGCTCAGATTTTTCTTGCCTCTCTCCCAAGAGATCAATTGTGTGTAAGAAGAGTCCATAATATGATCATGTTCTTACTGTTATACCATATTTATTTATCCTTCCTACATAAAAAATATACACACACGTACATATGTATTGGAATGCAAGATAATATTATGAATTTCAGGGGCCAGCCCGGTGCCGTAGTGGTTAAGTTCCTGCGCTCTGCTTTGCTAGCCCGGGGTTTGCAGGTTTGGATCCTGGGTGTGGACCTACACACCACTCATCAAGCCGTGCTGTGGTGGTGTCCCACATACAAAATAGAGGAAGACTGGCACAGATGTTAGCTCAGGGCCAATCTTCCTTACCAAAAAAAAATTATGAATTTCAGGGTACAAATATAAGAATAAACTCAGCTATTTCACTTATATTTAACATTTTGAAAGTCTATTTTTTGGATGAAAATCTTTTTTTTCCAACCCATTTGGGGTTAAGATATATATATATTCATATAAATAAACATTGATCTACCCTATTTTTCAAATCTTTAAGTTTTCTGAGCCCTGTTACTATAAGGTACCTCTACATACTTCTCTGGGGCAATGAGATTAATCTCGAAAGGACATTTTAACAAAATGACAGGGCTGTGGGAAGGGAACTCTTGGCTAACGGTGAAGAGACAGGGAATTCTAGGCATGTTTGTTGACTTTTATGGAGGAAGGAATTTTTAAGCCCCTTACCACTTCATCCTTGTTAACTCATTAGTTTTGATGTATTAAATTGGCCATTGGGTCTGTTCTCTTCAGGCAGCTCTCAAGATAGGGACTCTGCTATTAGAGGAGACAACTTAGGGTTACCCAACAGAGCATGAAGTTGTTCTTGCTTGGGAATTTATTTATTTAACCTTTTAATAACTAACACAATCCCTTGTTAGCAGATCAGGAATATTTTCTACTCAATTGGAATTAATATATACATTTTAGCCTGTGAAATTGTGACTTCTTTAAAATTGATATTACTTTCCATAATTTATTCCTGTCTCAGTACGTTGTCATTCTCTTCAGTCTTGGAGAGGGAATAGGATTTTTTTTTTTACTCTGATTTCTCCCCTCTACCCTTATATATTATACAGTTAGAATTCTCCAGAGTTTAAAAGGTATAGACACACAAAACAATTTGTTTCTTATGTCTCAAATTTGATGTATGATTGAAATATGCTTTGAGTTTGTCTTTAAAATCTGTATTTTAAAACATAGACTACAGATGAGGAGAGTAGTCTGTGTAAAAGATTGGGTTAGAAATGACAGTAGATAGAAAGGAGAAGACAGGACTTGGGTGAAGGGGTGGAAATGAGAGGAGAAACCCAAAACTGGAACATCTTGTTGAGAAGTTGATTAAAAGATAACTGTTTCATTTATTTATTCAATAAATATTCACTTGATGGCTACCATATCTGTAGGAGATACAGAGATGTGCTCAAGAAGTCTGATCTAGTGAAAATGAAGCAGCTAAAACTGACCATGTACTATGGCCTTGTGCCCAGCACATTATATTTACTTTAAATTTAAATTTAACAGCCTGCAAGGTAGGGACTGTTATCCCCTCTTTTCAGATGAAGCAGCTATAGAGATCCATAATTTGGTCAGGATCACACAGCTGGTGAGTTACAGAGGCCTATTTTACTTGCTTATTCATTCATCCAATCAATATCCATTGAGTACCTACTCTGGGAAGAAGTGTTCTTGGAGCTGATGACACGCAGTGAAGACAAGATTCCAGCCCTGCTGGAGCTGAGGTTGTAGTGAAGGCATATAATGAGTAGATCAGTTAAAGTGTCATGTCCTGTCAAGGAGTGGTAAGTCTCCTCAGAAAAATACAGTAGGAAAAGGGGATAGAGCATTGGAGCGTGTGTGTGCGTGTGTGTGTATGTGTGAGTGTGTGAGTGGGATTGCTTTGGATTGAGTGATTGGTCATAGAAGGCCCCTCTGAGGAGATGACTTTCTTTTTTTTTTTTTTTTTTCAAATTTAAATCTCAATTTTTATTATAAAGAGATAAAGCAATATTTCCAACGTATGTGAAGGGAGGCATAAAGAGTATACAACGCAATCATCTCTAATCCCACCACACAACAGAAGCAAGGAAACATGACCAATTTCTTAGAACTTTGCTGTGTGCTTGTGCCTTCTCCCAGTCCTTCTTGATTTCCTCACGGGGAACCATTCTCCAGATTTTGTATCTCTTATTCTTTTTTACTTTACAGTTTTATCATATGTGAATATACTCCTAAAGTATATGTCACTCATTTTTATATAATTTTGAACCTTATGTAAATGGAATAATGATGTTTCTTTGATGATATGATTTATGCTCAACATCACATTTGTAATATTCATCCATGTTGATGCATGGAGCTACATTTTATGCATTTTCACTCTAATTTGAGTTTTCCATTCTGTTTTCCTGCTTTTGTGCTTATAGACAGTATCTTAATTATAATATCATTTTAATATAAAAAGATTTAGCAGTTCTCGATATCTGGTTTGGTAAGTCTCCTCCCTTGTTCTTTTCCAGGTATGTCTCCATCCTTCTTGCATGTTTCTTCATACAAAAACACATTAGATTCTGCTTAATTAGGTTCCAAAATTTCTCTGTATGTTTATTGGAATGCCACTGAATCTGCAGATCACTTGGGGAGGATTGAATAATTATTTTATTATTCTTCCTTCCCATGAAGTAAGAACATGAAGTATAGTCTTTTAGTCTTTTAAAAAATCTTTTAATACGTCTTTTATATTTTTATCTCTTTGCAATATGGATACCTTTTATAAATCAATCTTTTATTTCGCTAATTGTGTCCTTACCTATGTCTCATCTGCTCTTTAACTCATCCATGTAGTTCATTTCAATTATTAGTTGAAATGATTTCATTATTAAAAGTTATATTTGTTTAAAAATTTTTCCTTATTTAAAAAATATTTTGTTCCTTGATCATATTTTCAAGTTTCTCTTTTATTTTATTTTTTTCTTTATGTCTTTGTTGGGGAAGATTTACCCTGAGCTCACATCTGTTGCCAGTCTTCCTCTCTTTTGCTGAGGAAGATTCGTCCTGAGCTAACATATGTGCCAATCTTCCTCTATTTTGTATGTGATCTGCCACCACAGCATAGCCACTGACCAGTGGTGTAGGTCTGCACCAGGGAACCAAACCTGGGCCACGGATGTAGAGCGCACCAAACTTAACCACTAAGCAACTGGGCTGGCCCTCTCTTTTATTTTTTTTAAATGTGTTAATGTACTTGTTATATATTCCACATCAAATAATTTCAGTATCTAAAAACTTTCCACATTTGATTCTTTGGATTTTATGGTACATTATTTGTGTGGCTCATGATTTTGTGTTATACGTTCCTAGAAATTTTTTCAGGGATGGTGTTTTGAGAACTCAGTTGATTCATAAAGGATTTGTGTTTGCTTCTTCTAGGTACCCGAGAATGCTACTAACCAACAGTCACTTTATAATTAAGGTTTTCCTTTGAGGATTTTTGAACCATCCAAGTACTGTGATTTGGGGGCACAAATTTGAGGAGGGCCAGCTTATGGTTAGAAATTATGTGGAGACAATATATTTGCTCCTCTACTCAGTAATGAGGTGGAGAATGGAGAATTCCCTTACTGCCCTTCCCTCCTGCACAGCAGATTTATTTCAAGTTCATCCTTACACTGAGTATGTTCTACTTGAGGTTTCCAGCATTCTTCAGTGGTCTCTTGTCAGACTCATTGTCTTGGGAAGAGTGAACACTCCCAGCCCCCACCTTACCTGTGACACATTGTACACTCTGCAGACATTAAAATGGAACCTCAAACTCACCAGGGTTCTCCTTTGCCCTTACTTTTGTCGTTGCAGATTTCCAAATCTCTTGTCAATCCAGTAATGGATTTAAAACGATGTTTTTCACATTTTATGCAGCATTTTTAATTATTTTCAATGATGGAGTTATTAAAGAAGTATAATCCACCATAATGCTGAAAACACAAATCTCTCTGAAGTTTTTTTTTTTTAAGAACAATCAAAATCTAAAGTGATTGCAAACTTACAGTTATTATCCCTCTATTTATAGAGTTCATCATATATGTCACATACTAAGCCAGGCATCAGGGACACAAAGAATAGGATAGGATCTGCCTTCCTAGAGCTCACAATATCCAGGCATGGAGAGTCTTGGAAAATGACAATGTGAAAATCTTGAAGTCTAGTCAGTTTCCATAGAGAACTGTTCTATGGGAACTTAGTGGACTATTTTTAATTGGCCATGGGACTCTGAGGAGAGCTTAACTGAAGAGGAGGTAGATGAGGTGGTTCTTGATGGCTCAGCAGAAAACTGGCAAAAAAGTGGGTTTAGGGAGATATTGCAGGAAGAAGCAATTTTGGAAGTTCTGTAAAGAGTTAGGAGTGTTGAGGATGGTGAGGAATCGAATGTGACAGGGATTTGGGGTAAACTTTGTCAGGGGAATGACAATATTGTAAAGGTAGATTTTGAACGATTGCTAGTTTACGCATTGGAAAGTTTTGTGGTATTGAAAATATCCCGTAAGCTTGAAATTTAATAAGGAAATGAATGAGGATATTAGAAGATAGTTTTGATACATTTGCTCTTTGAAGAAATTGCACAACAATTGGACAGCTTCCTACTTGAATAGAGATTTGTTCATTTTACTTTATTACTGGTTAAAACTAGTGATGAAGGTAATTTAGACTTTTTCTGAAATTAATGATGTTTTATGGAAAATGGTTATACACATATACATATATAGTACTTCCCTAAGCCCCCACATTTTTGCCAATTTTCTGCTAAGTCATCAAGAACTAGTGTGTGTGTATACATTCACATACTCAAAATTCAAAACCAAAACACTCAAAAAATGTAACCCTAGTTTTCTCACAGTAGATTCTTTAATAGAGAATTTCCCCATCTTTAGGATCTGAGACATATTTTCTTACACACACAGGAAGAATGAGAAGAACTGCATGCAATTGTACAACAAAAGAAGAACAAATGCATATAAAGCCTTAGAAGATGAAATACCTGATTAAGATATTTTCTGAATCACTATCTGGCTGAAAAGATAGGACATTTGTCACAACAGGTAAATTTGCCAAAGCAGTGTGAGAACAAGTGACTGAGGAGAGCGTAATGAGCTTGCCAGGGCAATCAAGTACAACAGATTTGTAGCAGCTGCTGGGGTCCAAGGAACCTTAGGGAATCCACTCAAGATGCTGAGCCAATTTATCTACTAGCATCACTGCTAGGGATGTGTGAAGAACTTGAGAAGCCAGCCGTGTACAGCAAGAACATAAAATATCATAGGAGTCACTGTGGAGAATATGAGATCCCAACATCTTAAAGGAAGACAAAACCTAAGGTGAGTACACAGTGCTATTTGCTCCTTCAATAAATAAACCTTTTGACTATCTGCTGAGGGCAGATTAATGTGCTGATGTGCAAAAGAAGGAAAGAAGAGAGTTCCAGCTTTTAGTTGCTTACTATCTAGGGAACATGATACATGCAGATATATGTTCATGGTACTGTGAAAAGAGATAAAGTGTCAAAATGAGCAGGAAAAATAAGTGCTATCTAAGTTTTTAAAATACATTCATCAGAGTGAGCTATAATAGATGGATGGGCAAGGCTCAATAGAAAAGGTTGTACTTGATGAGAGTTTTGCAAGTTGAGTATATCTGGATCAGGGAAGGCACAGATCTTGCATGTGGGAGTCGCTTCCTTCTCCTTCAGCCACGGCAGACATCACTAATCAGTCCTGTTTCCACTGAACCTGGAAGCAGTATTAATCATTCTCAGGATAGCATTGCAGGAAGAGCCTATGTTTCATTACAGATATCATTAAAGTTGAAAAAGGTTTACCATTCCTATTTGTACAGAGAATTAAGGAAAAAGCATTCCAGGCATAGGGTAGAACATGTACAAAAGATTGGCTTTGGAATTTGTGTTCTAGGTAAAACAAGTCAAGATTTACTCTGAGTAATAGGATAAGGGGGGCCGGCCCGGTGGCGTAGTGGTTAAGTTCGTTCCCTCCACTTTGGCGGCCCAGGGTTCATGGGTTCGGACCCTGGGCACGGATCTATGCACCACTCATCAAGCCATGCTGTGGCAGCATCCCACATACAAAATAGAGGAAGATTGGCACAGATGTTAGCTCAGGGCCAATCTTCCTCACCAAAAACATTAGAAATAAAATAGAGTAACGGAAGTTGTGTTGTTATAGTGTGGCCTAATAATAAAGGGTCATAGGTTCCCAGTTTAGGATA